ACCCCTTCCTTGCCTCTAGCCACATGTTTAAAATTAAGCAAGGAGCTGAAGGACCGATCCAATAGTTTTTTAATTAATTTCCCTGGGCTTTGGATGAGGTCCTCAGTGGCAGCACCAGGTCACTGCAAACCTTGCAGAACTGAGCTCAGGTGCCTTTTTTTGTTGTTGTTGTTTTTTCCCCGTCTTTTTTTTTTTTTGGCAGAATGTGTGAAATAACACAAAAAGGCAAAAAAGAGAATTCTTTAAGAAAGTAACTTTGAAGTAAGTTCTTGCTTTCTCTCCAGGTATTACCAGAACCATCCTAGATTCAGCGCTTTTTAAAAAGGGAAAAAATTAAGGTGCATGAATAGTCAACGCTAATATTACAATAAAGATTTGCACCTCTTCATGCACAGATACATAAATTCCAAATAACTGTTTGAGATATGTTGGCATAGACCCATCCTAGGGGATTCATGTCCTTAGCTGAAGGAAAAAAGAAGTCTTGCAGTAACATGAAGTAAAATTTTAGCTCTAGTAAAAGCAGGAGCCAAACTTAAAACAGCTGGGCAACAGTCTCATCTGTTGTATTTATTCATTTCATGCTGCTCAGAGAAATTACATCCTCAGACTCAATCCTCAAATTTACATTTCCCACTGGATAGTTGACTGCCTGTAAAATCCCTTAGGTGCCTTTTCTCGTCCTTTAGGCCTTGGTGAGACAGAAATTCCCTTTGCTTCCAAAGGCACTGCAGCCAAAGCTTGCAAGCTCAGGTTTGCAATATGGGCTCATATAATTTTGTGTTTATGCTTTATGGTACTGCTGGCGTTCTTCAGTAAGTTATAGGTAAATCCAGAGGTTATATCTGTTGGTTAGGTCACTTAGAGTTGTTTATAGGTAAATCTTTAAAATCTTGTTGGGAAAAAACCTACGTTTTAAAATGGAAATTAAAGCATTGCAATGTGTTGTGGACAAAGCAGAATTATTTGAAAATGTGAAGAATATAGTAAGAACTTTGGGGTTGCTGGCATTTGTCAGTCTGCACAGACATAACTGTAATTTCTATGAAATGATGAAACCAGGAAACCTTTTGATTGTACTTTTGAAAAAGTGCAATCTTTAATTATGGAAGAATCATGTTATGGGAAAGGTATTTTTTTATAAGAACTGCATGGATTGAGACACATGACTGGGCCATTCCTATTCTGTCCAGTAGAAGAAAAAGGATGTATCTATGCAGATACCAATGTCCTAGTAAAGTAGTAGCTGCTTTTACAGTATGAATACGGGTGATACATAGATTGTCATGTTATGCAGTATGCTTTGAAAAGAAATTAAAATGTAGCTAGTAAATTTTTGCATACTTTTATTAACTCCTTAAATTTTAAGCTGTTCTTTTTTGTTTTAAAGCAAAAGAAGAGCAAAGTCCTGCTCCTTCTCATGTTAGAAGGGGGAAAATTATTCACTCCACTGGGAGAAAAACTGAGGGTGTAATCCTGTTCTAACTTGCCCAATCTTGGGTTTTGCTTTTCATTCTCCTTCTCCTCATTTGGATGGTTTCAGAGTCCATTTTCCTTTTCCAATGATCCTTTCATTCCCTCAGGGAGCCAGTGGATGAAGTCCTCCAAATTCCCCCGTCGTTGCTGACATGCGGCGGCTGCCAGCAAAACATTGGGGACCGCTATTTCCTGAAAGCCATCGATCAGTACTGGCACGAAGACTGCCTCAGCTGCGACCTGTGCGGGTGCAGACTCGGAGAAGTGGGGAGACGGCTGTATTACAAACTGGGCAGAAAGCTCTGCAGAAGGGACTATCTTAGGTACACAACCCACTCGTTCTACCCTCCTTCCTCTTCTTTCTAGCATTTCAGCTTTGCTTAGGCATTTAATTAGTACAGCTAGCAAGCAGGATCCATATAGAATTCATTTTTTATTACCCTTAAATGTAAAGCCTGGCACCAATCCCAGTTGTAACACAGCACCATTTGCAAGCTCAGGTTCACAATATGGACTTACATTTTTGGGGTTCATGCACAGATGTTTTGTGGTACTGCTGGGGTTCTTCAGTAAGTTACAGATAAATCCAGAGGTTGTCTGTGTTGATTAGGTCACTAAGAGTTGCTTATAGGTTAAATCTTAAAAATCTTTTTTGAAAAGAAAGCATTTTTTGATTAAAATTAAAGCATTGCTACATGTTGTGGACAAAAGAGAACTATTGGAAAATGTGAAGAATGTGGTAAGAACTTGTAGAACTTTGGGGTTGTTGGCATCCATCAGTCTGCACAGACATAACCTGACAGCTCCAGCTGAACTGCACAGTGCCAGGTGGGATTCTGAGAAGTAGAAATTGGGAAAAGGTGATGAATTTCAGCAAGTGCACCCTGAGCTGACAACAAACCAGTTCCCCTGAATGGTTTTAAGAAGTTCAGTGCTACTCCAAGCATTGCCTTGGAGCTGAAAGGTATGTAAAACCAGGTGCCAAGATTGGCAACTGATGAAAGATCATTTAATTCTCTCATTTAAGAACATGGTATCCAAGGTAACTGAATTAAATTTGTTTTCCTGATGCAGTAATATCAGTTCTAGAATAGATGCTTGACGCCAGTAGCCAGCAGAGCTGCTGTTCCTGCTTGGTGTCTGAACTCACTGCTTTGTATACATTGATTGATCCTGGTCTTTTTCTGCATCGCTGGTAAAGTTATCTGGGACACTTGAAGCAGAAAGAGGCAATGTGCTGTATGTTTATTGCAAAGCCACAGCCAGTACAGGAAAGTTTGATTGCACTAATTTGGATCCAGTGGATTTTTAGCATTTTTAAGCCCGGTCCTGAACAGCCAGGAATTTACCCATTTTGCTGAATCAAATCCTACAAATACACTTGTTGCAGGTATTTTAATTAACATTTCTCTGCCTATCTGTTTCGCCAAAATGTGTAAGTATGAGGATTAAACTGAAATAAATAATATTTCACAAAATTTATAGTAAAGGATCTTTAGATTCTTGATTGCAATTAAATGTATTGATCTTTGCTGTGCTGGTTGTGTACCATTTCTTCTAATGTATCTGTAATGTGTCAGGAGGTCTGTGGAGCACAATAACAATACTTGATATTTTTTCAGCTACCTTACTGAAGGCTAATTTACCTTCCGATAAAAACTAAACCAAAATGTCGGTGAAGTTTCTAATTACGGTGTCCCATTACCAATGGGAATTTTGCTAAACAGAAACTAAGAACTGAGTTCTGCTGCTGGAGCCCTTTGTAAATACTCTCCACACACAAAACAGTCCAGCAGTGATTCAGTGTTATTTACAATTTCCAAATAGTTTTAGTCTTAAAATTCAACGTTTTTCTTTCTTTATTAATGCAACACAGAATATCTTCCCTCATTAATGAAAAATTTGGCAACCTTTATGCAACCTTGGTAATACTTTTGTTGGGCAGAAGTAAACACTGACATCTCCTGGTAGATGATAGAAATTGTCTTTTCCCTTTAAAAGTTCTCTCTTAGTTTAGTGGGCTTTTTTCCAGTTCAGAAGATTGTATGACAAAGACAGAGAACATGTAAGAGAAGTGTAGAAGGTCCAAAACTCTTTCCAGAATTAGCATGGAAACTTAGAAGTCAAAATCAATAGGTGTATGCTTTGAACAAAATAAGAAAAAAAAGTATCTCTTTGTGCTCTTTTATTAATGGTTTGACTTACAGACTCTGTTCAGGGGACTCATGGAAGGCTGGCATTCACATGTAGCTTAGTATGTCTCACTGCTCCAGATGACTGGTGCCTGTTGTGAGGGGAATACAGATCGAGTGCATTCATTAGAGGCTCCTTTCAATGAACAGTACCATCATGATCTCAGCAGGGTCTTTATGATCCAGATCATAAAAATGTTTGGGCTAGCATGTGTCCTTCTGAAACCCAGCAGGAGTAGATGTTTGAGTGGGAAAGAATCTCAATGTGGAGGCAATGGCAAGAGACAGGGGAGTCTTAGGCCATGGCTTGTGCCAACTCCTTTCTGTAAACTACAACAGCAACAGTGGAAGATAGGCAAAACTTATCAATGGAAAGGTAATTTCTATCGATCACAGAAGTGGAAGTACTAACATAGCACAACTTTATGCTATGGTCTGGGGAACACTTCATCCTCCTGAAGCTGCTCAGCAATTCAGGATAAGATCATCGACCAGAGAAGTCAATTATATTGAAAATAAGTGAGGACCTTGGACTTTCTACTTCAGTTTTTGGGATTGCAAAGTTTAGAGTTCTGCTCAGCAGCTTTCTGTGTGAGTTTCTTTTTATGTAAGTTGGTAATACTATGACTGGTGAATGGATAAAGGCACTGATGTCATGTTCTTGTTTTGATTTGGTTTTTTCCCATCTCCCCAGCAAAGGAACTCTCCTTATTTCTCTTCTCTTGTTGTTTTAGGCTCTTTGGCCAAGATGGCCTCTGTGCCTCCTGTGACAAGCGAATCCGAGCTTATGAGATGACCATGCGGGTGAAGGACAAAGTGTATCACCTTGAATGCTTCAAATGTGCTGCCTGCCAGAAACATTTCTGTGTCGGGGACAGATACCTTCTCATCAACTCGGACATAGTATGTGAGCAGGACATCTATGAGTGGACTAAGATAAATGGAATGATCTAACAAAGACATGCCTCCATAGGCAATAAACAGCATCTCATGAGCGATACCAATGCATAGCTGCATTGAGGAGATTATCACTTGAGCTATGGGCTTTGCCTAAAATGGGGGGAAAATACCACAGTCGGCCCTTTTCAGGCAGTGCTACATAGAATCTGAACTACACATAGGTGAAGAAGGGAGACTGAAGCAATAGTAGACTGACTGACTTCTGTTAACAAAGGCGTATGGACAATAACTGACATCAGCCATGTAGGCAAGAGTTGGGGAACTAACACAACATGATAATGAATTTGTGTAACTGGAAAATGAGTAGGGACTTTGTAAAGAGATATTATTACTTTGTCACCTGCAGACTAGGATTGTGCAATTGAATTTTCTTTTTTGTCTTGTTTTAGTTACTGAGCTTAGACAAGAGCTCCTAAGGTAGAAATGAGGAAAAATACTGGAAGAAAAGGGCCATCATTTACATGGTCATTCTATACAACCTTACACTTTGGGTAGGAGAGAAAGCCAGAAGATGGTGGGGGTTACGTTTGCATGGATTTTTTTTTCCTGTGAGAATCCTCTAGTCCCAAACTCTTCTTTAAAAAAATCCTGCTGA